TGCTCCTGACTACTGGGAGCTGCTCGTCTCCCATGAGACACAGACACCACACTTCTCCAAGCTCTGTCCAAGCATCCCCCAGTCTGCAGCCCCTGACCTAATTCTGGTGCCCGTGTCCTTCACAGTTCACCAGGGCTATGAAGCCTCCTGGGGGATTTGCCTACCGTGAACCCCATGATCCTTCACTCCTTAAACCATGCTCTGAGTGATAGTTCAAATACCTGCATCTGATAAGGATTCTTGCATGGAAATCTCCCTTCAATTCTTTTTTTTTTTTTTTTTTGACAGGCAGAGTGGACAGTGAGAGAGAGAGACAGAGAGAAAGGTCTTCCTTTGCCGTTGGTTCACCCTCCGATGGCCGCCGCGGCCGGCGCGCTGCGGCCGGCGCACCGCGCTGATCCGATGGCAGGAGCCAGGAGCCAGGTGCTTTTCCTGGTCTCCCATGGGGTGCAGGGCCCAAGCACCTGGGCCATCCTCCACTGCACTCCCTGGCCACAGCAGAGAGCTGGCCTGGAAGAGGGGCAACCGGGACAGAATCCAGCGCCCCAACCGGGACTAGAACTCGGTGTGCCGGCGCTGCAAGGCGGAGGATTAGCCTAGTGAGCCGCGGCGCCGGCCTGCTCCCTTCAATTCTATCCCCAACAAACTGAAAAAAATCACTCAAGTATCTCACACGGGGATTTTCTGGGGTCACCACTGTTTGTTCCCAGTTCCTGCCTTACCTGTCCCTGCTGTGCTGGGACAAAGGCAGAAGCAGATGCTACAGGCAAGGAGGATACAGAACTAAGGGACAGGAAATTCCTCTCTAAGTCATTCTGATCTCCCGGCCCCATCACTGTCCATCACCACTTAGAACCCAACACATGCTGACTACCCTGAGATGGACAAACATTTATTTTTATTACATGGCTTTGTATTTGTAAAAACATAGAACACTACATTACCACTTTTGACTATTTCAATGCTGTCCCCAGCTGTACTCAGGCTGTTGTGCAGTGTGTGTAGAACCAGGCACAACCAGCACTCAGCAGTGTGTGTTGTCCCAGGAGGATCTTGTTGAAGCTACATTGCAGGTGGTGGGAGAAGTACCAGAGCTGTCAGAGTGAGGCGTGAGATGACTGAGCACTCTGCCAGGGAGCAGTAGGTGAAGCCACCACAGGAATTTTGTAGGAGTGGTCAGTCAAATAAACATGGAGGAGGCACAGTTATGTCATGTTCTTCCACCTACATGGAGTGATCCCTCAGCCAATGAGAAGGGGGTGACAGGATTCCGTTATGTTTGCATCATGGCTGCAGATGGGTACACTCTGTAGGAACTGGGATCAGCATGTGGTTCCCAGGGATCCCGGGGCAGAACCATGGGGAGTACAATGTATCTGGTTCCCTCCTGGGAGGATTGTACACAAAGGCAAAGTGAGGGATGATGAGACGAGACAACCTTTCAAGAGCTATTCGGCAGTCTTGGTAAGAGAGAAACAAGTTTGTGTCCCACTTCCCTGCTCATCTGGGTCACTGTGTTTAACTATGCGAGCCATCAATGAGAGAAACTACACCACAGATGTAGTCGGCTTCATCCTCAGCCTGGATGTTGGAGATGATCAAGTCGTGGTCAGCCTCAGAGCTGGAGCCCGAGAAGCGATCAGCGACCCCGGTCCCCTGTTCATGGTTTCCATCACTCTCAAGATACATCAGGTACTGAGGGGCCTTCCCCGGGTGCTGCTGCTACCAGTCAATGGTGTAGTCACTGTGCTCAGAGCTCAGAGTGCAGGTGAGCTTGGCCGAGGCTCCCAGGGCGGCAGACGCAGAGGGCAACTGAGTCAGCACAGGCTGCTACAGGGACCCTGAAAATACAGACACTGTTACCCTGGAGGAAGCACGGGGTGGGGGCATTGCTCCCAGGAGGTGGGGGAGTTAGGTGACCTGGGAGCCTCGATGTGAGGCCCCTCCTGACCTGTGCTCTGGAGGAGGGTGAAGAGGAGGAGGAGCGGGGTGCGGGCCATGGTGCAGGCTCCCCCGGGCTCAGCCGAGGCCGACGCTCTGCAGGGCTCTTTTCCCCACCCTAACCCCGAAGACCCTGAGACGTCCTTCATGCAAATCTGCTCCTCTTGCTCTGAACAACCTGGCCCTGCTGGGACCCGTGTGCAGCCCCTGTGTCTGGGGGTTCTTTGGGGCATTCTGGGCTCCTTTTCAGGGGCAGCCCCCACCTGGTCCCTCACTTCCCTGTTCTCTTTGCCTCCTCAGTGGGAGCAGCAGGTGGCTCCACCCACTTGACAGGGCGTCCTTGTGGCACGCGGTCTCAGACACCCAGTGCACCCACAGTGAACACACACAGGAGCAGATGTGATCACAGCTGACCACGGTGCCAGTCGGCCCTGAGCACACCTGCTGGTGGCTGAGGACAGCAGGCTGCCCTCGTCCTCCTGGGCCCCTCACAGCCGAACCCACAGGGAACAGGGTGGGGAGCGCTGGGAGAATGATCCCCCCTGGGAGGGGTGCCCTGGATTCTCTGGGAAGTGGGGAGCAGCCCAGGCACGGGAAGTGGGAGATTCGGTGAGGTCAGAGTAGAGGGAGAGGAGCAGCCAGGGTCACACTGCCTAAGACCTCCCCTCCCCCTCGGTCTCCAGCAGCAGCCAATTCTGAGTCCACGGCCAGGGAGCTGTGAGTTATCAGCGAGTGCTGCCTGGGTCCCTGGGGAGGAAGCACCTGCTATGGCTCCTCCAATGCCCCATATTACTTGTGTCCACGGCGCTATAACCAGGAACAGATTGAATCTGCTTCAGACACTGCTCACTCCTGGATGGGTCCACAGCGCCCCCTGGTGACATGAACCACAGAATGGGAATGGCCGGGAGAATTCTCCATAAGGTCCAGCAGCGCTTTTTCCTTCCAGCAAACATGGAGTTTTCTTTTCCATTTCACCTCCTCCAGCTTCAATCAGATTAGTATTTGTGTTTTGCTGTTGTTACTTGGAATCTGTACGTCCTTCATTTCCTGTCATGCTGTGCCATTAAAATCTCCCCAGTGTCTGCATTTTACATAGTGATTAACCGTGTTTTTAGTTTCTACGGGAACATTTCTTTTCATGTCACTTTTTAATATTTACACTTTCATAATACCAACTTGTTTCCATTTATAAAATATTTCCTTATTTAACATCATTCCCTTTTGTTTCAAAAACACTTTAAAGTTTCTTTAAAAGAACATAGAACGGCTGTTGGAAGATCATTGTCACGACTTGAACATCAACATCGTCTCAGCATTGGAGTCCGTGGTTTGCATTTTTCATTTCTCATTCCAGTCCCAGCTTCCCGAGGTCCTGATGACCCAAGGGGACCTCTCCGTTGTGCAGCAGAAGTGTGGACACCGTGTGGTGCTGTGCTATGTGGTGCAGAATGGTTTCTGTGGTGGAGCCTGGAGCAGTGATGCTCCCTGACTGCAGCGCTAGGGGGCGCAGTTGGGTTCGCTCCCCACAGGGCTCCATGGCCATCAGGAGAGAGAAGCCCAGGGCTGCGTGGGGTGGATTTGCTGCTATGAGGTGGACGTGGAATTCACCTCTCCATGTGGCTTAACGTGCCACCCTGCAGCAGTTAGTGGACTGGACAAATGAGTTGGTGTCTCCTCTGTCCACTCCTCCACATCTGGTAGTGTTTTCATTGCTTGATTTTTCTAAACTAGAGATGGCCAAAGCAAGGAACTCAGAGTTCAGCACCAGTCTACCCCGTGGGAGGAAGGCCCCGAGTACAGGAATCGTAAGCTGTTGGTGTCTCCATGGTGCATATTAGCAGGAATCAGGATCCTAAGCTGAGCCCCAGGACTGGAGTGCGAGGCTGCACTGTGGGATTCGTCACCCAAGTTCAAGTCTACCACCGCCTGCTCTCCTCCCCTTCCCCACCCAGCACTGCTTTATCCCAGGGCAGACCCGGGCTCAGCTCCTCCCCGGGCCCCACAGATACCATTGGAGGCTCCTGCAGGGCAGCCTGGCTCAGCTTGTCCCCTGACCCAGTCTCACTGCTGAGGTGCAGCTCAGATCCCCACAGGGTCCAGCCTATGACAGGCGAGGGGAAGGAACTGGGGCTCTCACTGTCCCCAACTGCACTCTGTGCTCAGGCCTGCTGATACCCGGTGAGGACGGGGCTCGGGTGCACACTGGTCCCCACTGACCAGAGCCCACTGGACACTGGGGGTTCCTCCTGCTTCTGCTGGGCAGGGGATGGAAGATGATCCTGTACTCAGCACAGTGGAGTCTTCTGGAGGGGCAGAGTGGGTGGACACTGTGCATTCTGGGCTGCTGTTGGCAGTGTCCTGTCCATGCCCCACAGCTCATGGACGACTCCAAAGGCGAGTTGTCAGTTCCACTGTGATTTTCCATTCAAATGTGCAATCCATGTGGAAGAAAAGTCAATTGTAACATCTAATGTTTGAGAGACAAGTATGTTGAGTGAGTGGTGCAGAATCATATCCGTGTCGTGTTGGAGACTGAGGGGTGGGAGCAGGGGAGCGGGCAGGGGAGGGGCCAGCAGTGCGGGGTGGAGGCTGCCGTGCTCATGTCGGGGCTGGAGGTGGAGGCCAGGAGAGTGCAGCCTGCAGCAGAGCTGCTCCGTCTGTCTGAACACAGCGTGGGGGTGGCTGTGACCTGAGTCCCCACGGGGGAGATCAGGAGTTGTGGGGATGCAGGGGGGAGGGGGGAGGGTTTGAGGGCTGACATCAGGGGGAGTCAGTGGGGTTTAGGCCATGGACGCGTGGGGTCCTGAGAGGGAGGTTTTTGTCTCACTTCCTCCTCATCTGCAGCACTGTGAGGAACCAGCGCTGCTCCCACTACCGTGAGCTGTAGCACAGTAATAGTCGGCCTCGTCCTCGGGCTGCAGCCCAGAGATGCTCAGGACGCCTGCATTCTCTGAGGTGTCCTTGGATCCAGAGAAGCGGCTGTGCACCCCGGAGCCCTGGTGTTTAATATCATCTGTGTGGTAGCCTAGCAGATACCTGGGAGGCCTCCCTGGCACCTGCTGGAGCCACACTAAAGGGTACTCGCCAACACTGTAGCCAGTGCTCAGGGTGCAGGTGAGTCTGGCTGTTGTGCCCAGAGACGCAGACAGGGAGGGTGGCTGAGTCAGCACAGGCTGGGAGAGGGAACCTGCAGACACAGAACACGGGGAGGGGGCAGAGGTCAGGCTCACGTCCCTCAGGGCTCTGAGCAAGGGGTCTGAGCCAGGCTGGGACCTGGTCCCCAGGGCCGTCCCTACCTGTGCAGTGAGAGAGGAGCAGCAGGAGCAGAGGAGCCCAGGCCATGGTGGTCACAGCCCCTGACGCCCACAGTGGGCTGTGCTGCCCCAGGCCTCCTTTTCTTCCCCAGCCTGTGCCAGAGGAGGGGCTGCTCATGCAAATGAGGCCCCGCCCAGTGCCTGCCCCGCCCCTCCCTGAGGCCTGGTGCTGGGCTCTGTTCCTAATGCAGGCAGAGTAGAATCAATATTTCCATCATTCCCTGGGGATCTTGAGAGGAAGCACCTGTGACATAGACAAAGGATGTTGCCAATGGACTCTTCCAGGCCTGAGGGGACACAGATGCTAAAGCCCCATCAGTGAGAACATTGTCCAACCCCCAAGCCAGGGATCCTTTGCATGAATGCTCCTAGAGGAGCAGCTGTGTAGGAATCCGAAATTAGTCCCACAGCGCCCCCTGGTGGCGGAAAGCAGATTTGAATACCAGGCAGAGTCTGCTCCCCGCCCCTGTGCACCCACCTCAGCCCCTCTTGCTCAGGCCCATGTGCATGGTGTCTGTGCAGCGACAAGATGTCCTGAGTGATTTCCTGCGCCCCTAGTGCTCTGACCACTGACTGCTCTCCTTCTACCAAGGTCAGAGTGACCCCTCCTCAGGTGCAGCCCCCACCTCGTCCAGGTTCGAACCTTCTCTTTGCTCTCAGTGGGAGGAGCAGGTGGCTCCTCCTACTTTATAGGGAATAGAAACGGGGGAGATTTCTGAGGTCAGAGTAGAAAGGAGGGGAGCAGCCAGGGTCACACTTCCTGAGACCTCCCCTCCCCCTCCGTCCCCACAAGCAGTCAAGTCTGAGTCCACGGCCAGGGAGCTGTGAGTTAACAGAGAGGCTGGGGAGGCTGGAAGTTCTGCATGGATCCCTGGGGAGTTAGCACTTGCCTATGGCTTCTTATTCGTGTCATTTAGCTTGTGTCCAGGACTCTATAACAACAGTTTTGTTTTAATTTTTTATAGAAAACATTTATTAAATAAATATGAATTTTGAAAGTACAACTTTTATATTATAGCAGTTCTTCCCCCTCATAAACACCCTCCCACCCACAAACTATCCCATCTCCTACTTCCTCTCTAATTCCATTCTTCATTAAGGTTCATTTTTAGTTATCTTTCTATACAGAAGATCAACTCTATACTAAGTAAATATTCCAACATCTTGCACCCACCCAGACACATAAAGTATAAAGGACCATTTGAAGAATAGTTTTACCATTAATTCTTATAGTACAATACATTAAGGACAGAGGTCCTACATGGGGAGCAAGTGCACAGTGACTCCTGTTGTTGATTTAACAATTGACACTCTTATTTATGACATTGGTAATCACCCGAGGCGCTTGTCATGAGCTGCCAAGGCTATGGAAACCTCTTGAGTCCACAGACTCTAATCTCATTTAGACAAGGCCATAATCCAATTGGAAGTTCTCTCCTCCCTTCAGAGAAAGGTGCCTCCTTCTTTAATGGCCCCTTCTTTCCACTGGGATCTCACTCACAGAGCTCTTTCATTGAGGTCATTTTTGCCACAGTGTCTTGGCTTCCCATGCCTGAAATGCTCTCATGGGCTTTTTAGCCAGATCCAAATGCATTAAGGGCTGATTCTAAGGCCAGAATCCTGCAACACGTTGAATCTGCATCAAACACTGTCACTGCTGCATGGAAGCACAGCGCCCCCTGGTGACAGGAACCACAGAATGGGAATGACCTGGAGAATGCCCCAGAATGTTCAGCAGCTCTTTTTCCCTTTGAACAAACATGGAATTTTGTTTTTCATTGAACCTCCTCCAGCTCAGACAGAGGATTCTTTGTGTTTTGCTGTTGCTATCTCAAATTTGTGCGACCTTCATTTCCTGGCCTGCTGTGCCATTGAATCTTCACATGTCTGAATTTCATTTTAAGTATTAACTTTGTTTTTATTTCTATGAGAATTTTTCTTTTTTATGTCACTTTTAAAAAAACACACTTTCATAATTTACACCCGGTTTCCATGTATGCCTTATATGTTATACTTGCACATCTTTTCCATTTGTTTCTAAAGCATTAGACGTTCACTATTGAAAGGACTTAGTGACAGCTCTTGGGGGGTCTCTGTCACATAACTTGAACGTCAACATCGTCTCAGCACTGGAGTCTGAGGTTTGCATTTTCATTTCTCATCCATGTCCCAGCTTATTGCAGAATGCACAGGGCTGTGCCCTGAGCTCTGAGACCTCCTCTGTCTCTGTTCCCCAGATGCCCTGGGTGGCTCAGGGTCAGGCTGCACCTGTGTGTGTCACTGGCCCCTGGTCCTGGGCACAGCCTGCTGCACTGAACTTGCACTCAGAGGTCTCCACAGATATTCACCACTAAAGATGCTCAGAGCCCATGGCTGAGGAACCGGGGTTTTTGTCTCACTTCCTCATCGTCTGAAGCACTGTGTGCATGGAAGCTGCTCTCAGTAGCATGAGCAGTAAAACAGTAATAGTCAGCCTCGTCCTCAGGCTGCAGCCCAGAGATGCTCAGGACAAACGAATTCTCTGAGGTGTCTTTGGATCCAGAGAAGCGGGTGGGGACCCCAGAGCCCTGGTGTTTAAATTCTTCTGTGTGGTAGGTCAGGAGATACCTGGGGGGCCTCCCTGGCACTTGCTGAAGCCAAAGTACACCAAGGCTGCCAACACTGTAGCCAGTGCTCAGGGTGCAGGTGAGTCTGGCTGTTGTGCCCAGAGACGCAGACAGGGAGGGTGGCTGAGTCAGCACAGGCTGGGAGAGGGACCCTGCAGACACAGACACACGGGGAGGGGGCAGAGGTCAGGCTCACGTCTCTCAGGGCTCTGAGCAAGGGGTCTGAGCCAGGCTGGGACCTGGTCCCCAGGGCCGTCCCTACCTGTGCAGTGAGAGAGGAGCAGCAGGAGCAGAGGAGCCCAGGCCATGGTGGTCACAGCCCCTGACGCCCACAGTGGGCTGTGCTGCCCCAGGCCTCCTTTTCTTCCCCAGCCTGTGCCAGAGGAGGGGCTGCTCATGCAAATGAGGCCCCACCCAGTGCCTGCCCGCCCCTCCCTGAGCCCTGGTGCTGGGCTCTGCTCCTAGTGCAGACAGAGTAGAACCAATGTTTCTGTCATTCCCTGGGGGCCTTGAGAGGAAGCACCTGCGACATAAGACAAAGGACCTTTGCCCAGGGACTCTGCCAGGCCTGAGGGCACACAGATGCTGAGGCCCCATCAGTGAGGACGTTGCCCAACCCCCAAGCCAGGGCACCTTTGCATGAATGCTCCTGGAGGAGCAGCTGTATAGGAATCCGAAGTTACTCCCACAGCGCCCCCTGGTGGCGGAAAGGCACAAAACTTCCCGTGGTCAGGAAGCCCTAGAGCCAGCTGGTTTTTGCAGCTCTGCACTTTCTGTCTCCATTCTCAGGAACCCATGAGATTCCTGAGGCTGGGTACACAGACCTGGATGGAGTTTTCTTTCAATCCCTTTCTTTCCACTCTGTGAATTTCCTCCTGGATTTCTTGGTGGATCCTTTGTGCGTGGGGACCTCTGTAGTCACCAGAAATGTCACCAGAGAAAAGGCTGTGGAACCGTGGGGTTCTTGTCTTCATGCAAGAAAGAATTCTACCATGAGACAGAGAGTGAAGTGATAAGGTTTTATTGGGGATAGGGTGTATTTCAGAATGGACGGGACAGACAGAGAGCGCCCAGTCACTCAGGCTGGGGGAGAGCGAGGTTACATGGAGAGAATTCACCTAGTGGCTCAGCAGAGAGCAGAGAGCTGAGCACACAGTCTGTTTAATTCCTGGTTTTGAAGGGAGTCTGTGTACCCACCTCCCCCTCTCCTCTAGGACAAAGGATGGAGAGTCCTGGAGGAAGGGTTTGTTGGGTGAAAATTAGCAAATTCCTCCCCAGATTTGCTGGCACCGGGCAGAGTAGAGGGGTTTCTCTAAGGGAGTCCGTGAAGGTTTTACTGCCCATGTATTCAGGTCAGGGAACCCATTTGGACCTGAAGAGAGAATTCTCCTAAGAGCTTTCCCTGTGGGCAGGACTGGGAACACCTGGACTCTTACCGGGGTGTGAGCAGGATTTTGCAGTGCAAGATGCTGGGTTTCTGGATATTCCACATAGATGCTGCTGTTCGGGTCCATCTCACACACACAGATGCTAAATTCCTGACTTCCTGCTTAATACAGCCTAGTGGTCTGCTTCCCATTGGCTGATCCATGCTCCTCTTTTGTTCTCAGTGCTAGCAACAGATTTATGATTCAAAATCTGCTCCTCAGTCACTCAGAATCCCAGACTCATAATGTGCAATAGAAGGGATCACTATCTGGCTTTAGTTCTGTGTGGGAACTGGGATTCCAATTTATTTGAATTCACACATTCAGTGACCTGGGATGTTGGTTTTTCCCCTGAGCCGGGCAGTGTCTGGGCTCTGTGGATGCAGCAGGAACAACCACAGGAGAGAAGCTCCCTGCTCTCTAGGAGCTTGGAGCACAGCGGGGGAAACACTCAGGAAACAGAGTCCTGGAGACAGGTCCTCCTGGCTGAGCCCTGACCACGCTCCCCGTGGGGCCTGGTTCCCACTCCTGACTACTGCCATTTGGGGAGTGAACCAACAGAAGGAAGTGCCCCTGCCTGAGCTCTGGCGCTGGGCTCAGCTCCCACTGCAGACTGAGGAGGGTGAGAGTTTGTTATCATCCTTGGTGACGCCTTGGGGGAGAGGAAGCACCTCTGAGACAAGACAACGGTCCTTGCTCAGGGGACTCTGTCACATCACAGAGGGCACAGGGGCTGCATCCCCATCAGTGAGCACAGGGTCCACACAGCAGTCCCACAGCGCCCCCTGCTGGTGGTGATGCATACACTTCCCCATGACCCAGAGACCTGAGGACCACAGAAATTCTGCAGCTCCCCAGTCACTGTGTCCATTCACCCACCCATGGCCTGATGTAGAAGCTGGGACCTGACAATCCATGTGGTCAAAACCCTTTGATTAAATAAAGTACTCAGTTCCATGGTGGAAGACTGTTGAGTCTCTGATCCAATGAACTTGAAAACAAATTTGGGGAGAATGTACACAACTGGGTCCCCTGGCAAATGTGGGAAAATGGAGTTGATGTAGACTGGAAGCTGTGGTGTGTGCACCTGCTGCACATCACTGCTGTCCCCCTAGAGATCTTACACAAACTCTGCCCTGAGAGCCGGTGTTTCTATTCTGGAGAGAGAGGGGGCAGGTATGAGGTGGATGGAAGGGAAACTCTGCAGCCCACTGGCAATGGGACGTGCTGTCCTCCTGTGGGTCTGGGATGAGGTACAGAACTAAAATGGGCTCGTGGTGGCCTTCATGGCCCATGGGGTACAGAAAGTCATTGAAACTGATGTATGATGGGAAAATTTTCATTCATTTACCGAGGAAACTATGCCAGCATCTGTATAAAAGGTATTGTAAAGTCCTCCACAAGGGCTAGGGAGCATTGTTTAAAACATCGCTTGGATGCCCATAACCCATTGAATTGGCTGGGGTAGAGTCCTGGCTCCCCCTTCTGTTCCAGCTTCCTGCTACCTGCACACAGCAAGGCAGAGGATGATGGCTCCTGGGGCACTTGGTTCCTGGCCAGTCATGCAGGAGCTCCAGATGGAGTTTCTGGTCCCCATCTTCAGCATGGCCCAGCCCTGGTAATGTGGGCATTTGGGAAAAGAATCAGTGGGTGGAAAAACCCTCAGTCATCTTCTCTGTCACGTTGCCTTTTAAGTAAATAAATAAATTTTTAAAAACATCACAGCAGGCTACATTGTGGTCCAGAGGGTTAAACCACTGTGTGTGAGGGCTGCCAGAGTAGCACAGCAGGTTAAGCCACCGTCTGTGACGACAACATTCCAAAGGGTGCGGGTTCGAGTACTGACTGTAGCAATTCCAATCCAGCTTCCTGCCCATGTGCCTGGGAAGTGGCAGAAGATGTCCCAGCAATTTATGCCCCTGCCTTGCCTCCCATGTAGGAGACACGGATGGAGTCTGGGCTCCTGCAGTTGTTGTTGCCACTTGGGGAGTGAACCAGCACATGGAAGATATTCTATGTCTCTCTCTCTCTCTCTCTCTCTCTCTCTCTCTCACACACACACACACACACACACACTCTTTCAATTAAATAGATAAATAAATCTAACAAATACCGAAGCCATAGACTCTCCTCTCCTTGGTGACACATGACAAAGGTAAATGAACCCAGAGGGAAACAACACCTCAAAGCAATGATCTGTCTTCTCCCCTATGATGTTAGTAAGGAGGACTCTGAGCTGCTCTGATTCTAAATTTCTAGATGCAGGTTCCCTGTGGTGAGTCTTACAAACCTGTGAGTTCCTCCAGCGAATTCACAGAAAGTATTGCACTCGATAAACAGTGACTGATGGACCTGGATCTACAGAGAGATTCAGTGATCCCTGTGACACATCATGAGACGTCAGGGCTGGTGCAGGGCAGAACCCAAAAGCAGACAGAAAAGGGGAAGAGGGCAGAGTGAGGCTCTGAGGACCTGGCTGAGCAGCCTCCCAGGGCCAGAACGGGGACCCTCTGCATCCACCAGTCCCAGCGAAATAGAAAACAAAAACATGGAAAATGAAGGCTTCCTTAGCAGTTACACCAGCCAGCAGTGTGTGTGTCCAGATGAGAGACTCTGCAGTCACAGTCATGTCCCCAGGGATGACCACTATATATGTGTTTGGGGGTAATGCAGGCTCCATCATGTTAACCCACACCCTTATTTTTAATTATCCTCAAGAGCACACACAAGTCTCACAGCTCAGCCCTGACCTTGTGTGTGGCAGTGAACCAGGGCTCTGTGCAGTCACCCTGTGCTGGGGAGGCCAGGAGCCCCTGGGTTTCTGTCTCACTTCCCCCCTGACCCACAGCACTGTGTCAGCATGCAGGCTGCTGTCCCATGCGGCACAGTAGTAATCAGCCTCATCCTCAGGCTGCAGCCCAGCGATGGTGAGGGAGGCCGTGTTCCCAGACACGGACCCTGTGAACCTGTCCGGCACCCCTGAGGGCCGCATACTGCCATCATGGATGAGCACGCTGGGGGGCCTGCCGGGCAGCTGCAGGTACCAGTCTGGATGTCCACGCCCCACGTTGCCTGTGCCTCCAGTGCAGGTGATGGTGACCGCCTTCCCCACAGCCCCGACACTGCAGCTGGCTGAGTCAGGGCAGCCTCAGCCCAAGACCCTGAACATGAGAAGAGATTCGGGATGAGAGAGGCACTCAGTGCACAAGGACACACAGAGGCTCCCACAGTTCCTTTCCCCGCACCAGGCACCTGTGCAGAGAGTGAGAAGGATGAGCAGAGGAGCCCAGGCCATGGTGAGACCCTCCTGCAGCTCTGTCCTGAGGACCCTCGGCTGGTCCTGGGCTCCTCTCTTCCCTCTTATCCCCTGCAGCACCCTGAGCTGAGGGCGGGACCCTTCATGCAAATAGACCCCTCCTCCTCACTGTCCCAGCCTGGTCTACACCCGGAACTCATTCACCATTCAAATATTGTCCCCGGGGCCACAGCTGGGGATTTTTGACTGTCTGTGGTTCTAGGGTCATTGAGGACACAGTGTCTGTGCCCCAGGGAGCCTGAGCAGGGCCAGCAGACTATGGCCAGTGGGTGGTTTCCAGCTGAGATGCATCAGTGAAATGCCAGAGTGCACTCTGTTGGCTGAGTCACATACACAGTCCAGTCTGGGTTCCTGTCCCCTGTGCATGCCCTTGTCCACTCTCGCTGGGCTGTGCAGGCCACACCACACCTTCGTCTCAGACACAGACACAGCCTCCCACACTTGACTTCTGCCCAGCTCTCAGGCTGCTCACAGGACACACCTGCGCTCTCGGCCTCCCTGGTGGAGCTGCCCTGGGTGCAGCAGAGTGGGAAGCTGAGGGGAGACAGAGCCGACACCTCCCTGGGGGTCTCCAGGAGCCCCTCTGTCTCCCATCTTCCCTGGGCAGCCTGGGACCTCTCACAGACCCACAGGACCTGACCCTCATGCTTGGGTCTCTTTCTTGGCCAAAAGAGATAAATAATAGAAATAGAGAAAAACTCTTAAAAATCAACATTTAATCCCAGGCATCAACTCCACGTGATGTGCACACTGGGTGGTGTTGGCAGAGAGGAGCGCAGAGGCTTGGGGCCACTTCTGACTCCTCATTCTCCTCCCATCCTGTTGCACTGGGAGGCAATTCTTCCCCCTCTGAAGGCTGAGGCCTGCGGCTCTCATATCCCACCCTGGACACGTGGACACACACTCTCCTGCAGTGTAGGAGCCAGCAGAGATGAGTTGGGGACCTGCCTCCAGGGGACACCCTGGGCTGTGCAGGTCTCTCCAGCAGCTCTGAGTCTGCACCAGCTGAGCTCTGGAGAGAAGAGAGTGGGGAGCAGGTGAGAGGAGGAGGGGCTGTGGGGATGCACCTGTGAGCGCTGCTCCCTGACGCCCCCTAGTGGAGGATGAAAGACCTACTTCTCCTGAGTTTCTTCCTCTCCTGGGGAGAGCTGGGCTCTTCTTGCAAACCTGCTCCTCTGCACTTGGCTGTGTGAGCTCTTTCTCACCTACTTGTGGACCTGCCCCTGAGAGCTGGTGCTGGGAAGAGGCCCCCAGGGAATTCTGTGAATTGTGCTTCGAATCCAGAGGAGAGAGTTGTGCGTCCAGTGGTGACCTGTGTGCTCAGGCACCTGTGAGATCAGCCCAGGAACTGCAGGTGTGACTGTCATTCATGCATGTTCTGCACAAAGCTCTCTTAAGTGAATGGAAGGTGGGGATGGAACCTTCTTTTGTTGTTTGGAGAAACACGATACAGTCTACTGAATCCAGACAGAACACTGATTCCTAAACTGGAAGTGGTTTTCCTGTCTCCGTGAAAGAAGTTCAAATACCATTCCTTTTCTGTTTGTGTGACATCACCACTTCCTCAGGTAACAAAATAGGGAATCTTAGAGGCTTTAATCCCTGCAGGCTGCAGTGCTCCAGCTCATCCCGTTGGCCACCTGGGTGCACAGAACCTGATATGCAAAGGCACTGATCACGTGAGTCTCCCTTACTGACAAGGGTCCACACTGTTAGGACTCTCCCTCCTGGACCTGGAGAATGGGGTTCCCGCCCTCTGCGTGTGAGGACTTTGGTTTCTCACTGCCTGGCACTTGCATCTGTGGTCAGGGGGAGAGGCACAATCCTCACACCTGCTCTTGGGCTGGAATTTGAAACACGTGCCTTGTCTGTGCTCATCTTGCACTCTCGACAATGCATTCGTCTACTATGATGTCACTGGATTTGTGCTTTTAACTCGCATTTAGTTCACGTGCATACTGTTATAATAAACAGCGTGGAGCAGGCACACAGGATCCTAATGCTTCCGGCTGGCATTCCCCTTGCGCCGTCCAGGTAAAAACAAGGTCATGAGTGGAACCCACGACCTCTGACCTCTCACCTGAGCTCTTCTCCAGCCCTCTCTGACAGAATGTTCTCTGGTGCAGACGCAGAACCTAGAGTACCCATGCATGGTTCCTCATGAGGTCTCTCCACAGGATGTGGGGGACGTACCAGAGAGCAGGGGACAGCAAGGTTTCTGTGAGGTCTGCAGCATCCTACAGATGTGCGCACTCTCTAGGAGCCTGGCCTGGCCGTGTGGCTCCCAGGGAGATCGTGGGAAGGGAGAGGCGCTGGTTCTCTTCTTGCAAAGCTTTACAGAGGATCCGTATATTAGTGTGATGGGAAACCTGGATGATGCTCAAGGGCCACAGGCAGTCTTGGTAACAGAACAGAGAACTAGGTTTTGGTCCCACTTCCCCATTCATCTGGGTCACTGTGTTTAACCATAGGATTCACCACTGCTATAGTCTGTACCACAAATGTACTTGGCTTCGTCATCAGCCTGGACGCTGGAGATGATCAAGTAGCAGTCAGTCCCAGAGCTGGAGCCCGAGAAGCGATCAGGGACCCCGGTCCCCTTGGTGTAGCTTCCATCACTCTTAAGCTGCATCAGGTACCGAGGAGCAGTCCCTGGCTTCTGCTGATACCAGTCAATGGTGTAGGTGCTGTGGGCACTGCTCAGAGTGCAGGTGAGTTTGGCCGAGGCTCCCAGGGCGGCAGACGCAGAGGGCGACTGAGCCAGCACAGGCTGGGACAGGGACCCTGAAAACACAAACACCCATTACCCTGGAGGAAGCACGGGGGGCACATTTGTAAAAAGGTTGGAGGCGGTGTCAGGCAGATGAGGGGTAAGATGCCGAGCACCATCCTGACCTGTGCAGTGGAGGAGGAGGAGGGGGAGGAAGAGCGGGCTCCAGGCCATGGTGCTGCTGCCCTGGGCTCTGCTCAGGCTGACACACAGCCATGCCCTTTTTTTAAATTTTTTTTTTGACAGGCAGAGTGGACAGTGAGAGAGAGAGAGAGAGAGAGAGAGAGAGAGAGAAGTCTTCATTTTCTGTTGGTCACCCCCCAGTGGCTGCTGTGGGCAGAGCGCTGTGGCCGGCGCACCACGCTGATCTGAAGCCAGGAGCCAGGTGCTTCTCCTGGTCTCCCATGTGAGTGCAGGGCCCAAGGACTTGGGCCATCCTCTACTGCACTCCCAGGCCACAGCAGAGAGCTGGCCTGGAAGAGGGGCAACCGGGACAGCATCCGGCGCCCCAACTGGGACTAGAACCTGGGGTGCCGGCGCCAAAAGGCAGAGGATTAACCTATTGAGCCGCAGCCAGGATGCTGTTTTATGCACTCTATGGAGCCTTGGAGGGTGGGGGAACTTCATGCAAATTCAACCCACTTCCTCTGGCCAACCACGCAGTACCCAGGCTTTTGAGAGAGCCCAAGATCTGTAAGTCATTTCTCAGTTGAAGGCCTGGGCGAGGTCAGTCCGTGACCTCAGGACAGCCCCTGGGGCTCTCTGGGCACACAGGAGACTTCACTTCTGCTTCAGTGAGCACTGACCACAGACCAGGATGCAGGTGTCTGGCTGCCCAACTGAGAGCCCACCAGACCCCTCAGCAGCAGGCCCACAGCACCCCTGCTGGCCAGGGCCAGATCCACAGTGGCTGTGACAGGTGGCAGGTGTCCTGGCAGCCTCCCCCACCCTGCAGCCAACTCCTGCCCAAAGTCATTGCGAGCCCCTACACAGGGCAGCCTCCCACCTGCTCTCACTCTTTCGTGTTCTGTTTGGGCTTCCTCAGGGTGCACAGCACACAGGGTTCTCCCCACTGGATTAGGTCCCTTAGGAAACAGTGGCCTCACACATGCCCTGTAACACAGTCAACCAGCAGAGACAGGAATCAGCCAAGGTGAAAGAGATGGAGAACAGTGAATGTTGAGCTGAGAACCCGCTCCACAGAAGGCTCCCTCTCCCCGACTGAATCCTTGCAGAGCAGCACACAGGGGTAGTGTAGGGAGGATTTGGGAGAAGAAACTCACTCGCTTGTAGGATTCACCGGACTACAGGAAAATGCAGAGAGCCCTAGGATAGACAAGGGGACAGTCCCAGTGAGATTGAAACAAAGGAGTGAGAGTAGAAACTTAGAATCTTTGAGAATGAGTGGATGACAGTTCCAAGGATGGGGGCAGGGAGGATGAGCAGTGACTCCTAGCAAACCCTGATGAAAGGTCACAGGCCACTCTGAGGACCTTGGCAGTGACCAAGAGGTCATAGAGGAGACAGAGGTGAGGAGGGAGGGGGAGACTCAGGACTGGGGAGGAGGCTGGGTATAGAGTCGTCGAGGAGGCACAGGTTCACTGGTCTGCACATTGGGAGAGCCTGGAGCAGAAGCAGTGGAAGGTGGGTAGAGTCAGGGCGAGGCAGGGGCGGGATGAGCTTTGGTGCCTGTGAGCATCACCTGGGCTCTGCCTCCTGGAAAGAGGCCCACAGCAGGCTTGTGGCTGTCACCTCTGTAGGCTGCATGCATGGAATCTGCATTGCTCCTTAACCCCTTCCTTACATCGGTCACGGGCGTCTGTTTTGGGTTTTGTCCAATACATTTTGCTTTCCAGTTACAAAATGTCTGTGAATGTTGTTGTGTTACCTGATGCACGTGGATCTCCTGTGCAAGATTCTAGAAACGCAGACTCCAAGGCCCTGTCCTTGGTCCTGAATCAGAATCCACACAGAGAACATCCCAGGGCCTCCTGTGCAGGGCATGGTCTGAGCAGCACTGGTCTCAGCCAGGCGGGAACCCTGGGAAGATCTGTGTCTGGACTTGATCCCAAAGCCTCAGCCAATGGTGCTTCCTGGATGTCCAGACACGCTCCATTTTCCCACATTGTTCACAATAATTCACCAGAGTTTTTCCAATAAAAGTCTCGGGAATCCACTCCTTATCACAAAATCTGAGGAATGACCAGAA